GTACTGTTGACATGTAAGACACCAGATCAAGGGGAGAGGTTCCCTGTGTTAACTGACTATACACTGGTGTATGTGGGCTGTGTTGAACAGGTTCCAAATAATAATGTATATCAGATGTTTGCATGGCTTCAGAACATCCTTGTGGAGGGCGCGTAGTCAGAAAACTTAGGGAGAAATACTGCAGATGTGATTTTGCAATTATCCATTTCAGCAGGTATATTGGAGTAAAAAAGAGTGTGCGTGCTTGTATGTGTTTGTTTGCATGCAGATGGCCATCTGTATTTGGTATTTAAGCGTGAAGTATTTGAAGGGTTCAGGCAAATAGACTGCTCCTGTTAATCTGGGTGCTGTGAGTGTGTGTGTGTGTATACGCGACTATCTGTGTGAGTATGTATATGTGTGTGTGTATGAGTGTACTAGTATGTGTGTGTCTTTATGAAAGACAGAATAGTATTAAAATTAGAGCTATGAAGATACTAATAAGCAGGTTACAGATAGATATACAACATGGGAACTGCAGAGACGAACAGTACTAGAATTAGAACTGTGAAGATATTATTATATTATTAAGTAGGTGTCTGATATGTAACATGGGAACCAGGAGGCATGTTATATGACTGACCAGTTTTTTATCATGGTGAATGGCGTCTATATCAGCATAAAAAATATGATAAAATATTGTGAAAGTATGATAGCTAATTTGAAACATGTGCCACAGATAAAACAAGTGAATCACACTAGGTCAGATATTCACAGTAAATTTACTCTTCACTTCACATCATCAGATGAATCACAGAGCTAGATGGTAGGTTTTGTTACTAGTACCTACTTTTGATAAAATATAACTTGAAATCTTCTGAAGTTAACGTATTACTAATAGTAGATTCACTTAACTAGTAAGTTATATATTGCCTCTGATCACGAGTCTTGCCAGATTTGAAGCCTGAGGGTGCTTTCAGAACAAGTTGATCCACAGACTTAGATTTTTGGATTAATATGGCCAACCCACTTGAAAGCTAAACCCCCAATAATGTGTGTGTGTGTGTGTGTGTGTGTGTGTGTGTGTAGATTTCCTACTACTGCATGGTAAGCTTACAAGTAGGTCGGCCATATTTGATCTGAAGATCTGTTAGTCCACAGATCAACTTTGGTTGTGAACAAGACCTGAAAGAGGTAATCCAAAAGGAATGTTTAAATATAGTATTTCTTATCATAATGATAATAAAAAAAACTGCTATAGACATCAGACTATCTGAGTCAGACATCTTGGTGCTGCGGCATTGGTACAGAGTATTGAGAGGAAGCCACATTGTGCAGTGATATAGCAGGGAAGATATCTGGTCTGCTGCCAGTTATAAAGTATTGAGAGGATGCCCCATTTTACCGAGGGTCAGCCATGTTGCCACTACTCTGGTATATACACCAAAGATAGTAGAGATTGCTTGTTGTTTTGGTACAGTTAATATATAGTGGGATTTTTTAAAGGACTCTATATATCATAAGATATATACACAGAAGGTATCTACTGGTTAGCAAACTTATTTTCAGTATAAAGAACTATTTGTTTTGTTAGATAGAGGGTTTTCAAAGAGTTGAATTGGTACAGATAACCGTGGTATTCTTACACCATAGTGGACTCCTAGAGTGTAGTGGACAGATGGTACACACCATGAGGTATCTGTACATGTGTGTGGACATGTGCTCACATGTTTGTAAGTGTATTACATGAGTGTGTTTGTGGGATTACATGTGGTAGTCAGCTGTGCCTAACACTTATGTACACACACACACATGCACACACATACACATACATATACACATGCATGCATATGAGGGTCTATGTGTGTCTGTGTGTGTACATGTGTGTGTATGTGTGTGTGTAGTGTGTGTGTGTGTGTACTATGTGTATGTGTATGTGTGTGTGTGTGTTTGTGTGTGTACATTGTGTGTGTATGTGTGTGTACTGTGTGTGTGTGTACTGTGTGTGTGCGCGTGCATGTGTGTGTGTACTGTGTGTGTGCGTGCATGTGTGTGTGTACTGTGTGTGTGCGTGCATGTGTGTGTGTGTACAGAGGGATATGAACAGTTAGGATATCAGTAAAGAAGTCTCAGTAAAGTCTTCAGTCTACAGCATAATATGATAAAGTGTACATCAGTGCTGTAGGTGGTGTGACATTTACCTGTAGATTTACCTGTGAGTTGAAGCCTGGTTGTTGACTTCTGTTAAAGGTTACAGCATACACAACAACTAAGAAACATTTCTGCTTCTTAAAGTTGGGTGTTAGAAAAGAATGAAAACGGGGTTATTACAGATGTGGTCATGATAGATATAACTGAGGCTACATTCACACCAAAGTTAATCAGCGGACAAAGACCGCATTCACATCCATTGAGCCATGGCTCTACAAAGTCATGAACTAAATATGGCGGACGTACATGAAAAGAAAACTGCTTAATCTTTTAATAGTCTTCTCGCCTCTCACACGCCTCCCCATGTGTCACCCCAATGGAGCTGAAATTTAATGACTGTACCCCCTGAAGGGATGACACGTGGGGAGGGGTGTGAGAGGCGGAGAGACTATTAAAAGATTAGGCGGTTTTCCTTTCATGTACGTCCGCCATATTAAGTTCGTGACTTTGTAGATCCATGGCTCAACTCGATGTGAATGCGGTCTAACAGATCAGTGGATCAAATATGGCCGACCCACTTAAAAACTTACCACATAATTCCCATGGGGTATGTATTCAGTGTACGTTACAAAATTGTGTCACAGACTTTACAGTGGGGCGGCCATATTATCTGTTAGTCCACGGATCAACTTTGTTGTTAATGTAGCCTGAGAATTACAAAGCTATGATTGGAATAAATGTGGTATATGTGACAACCCTGTGAAAACTTTGAATACCAGCTACATACATATTATACTGCCTACTACTATATAACACTGGTCACGTCAGACTGTTACCCTGGGTATCCAGTACAGTATCCATATTTATTAAATACACACAGTGGGCCATAATATTAGAAGACCATGTTAATCAGCAGCTGCTCTGTTTGCCCCTATCTGTTATTTACCTTGTTAACCACCCAGCAGCTGGCACACCTGAGGCAGTGAGAGTAGCCTCCTGATGAGCAAGATCTGGTCAGGTATTCACAGGGAGATAGATTACATACCTGTGTCAGGTAGTCTGATTGATCTATGTTATTTTATATAACTCCCTTCCCTGCCAGGGAGTCTAGTTAGTACTTAGGGTTAGTTATGGCTACCTGCCTATGGCGGTGTGTATATATTGATATCATTGGGACTCAGAAGATGGACAGAGTGTAGAAGGATGAATGGAAGGAAGATCACAGCTAAGTTGGTGATGCTGACACACATCCACTATTACTCTGCCTTCTTGCTGTGATGCTATATATGACATAGTGGTGTGTATAGGGTGGTGAGGATTATAGTGCAGTCACTTTTGATTATGTTGTATTGGATATATCTTTGTTTTGATGATGCAGTTGATCAGCAAGAGAGTGAGAGAAATGGAGAGAGAGATGGTAGGAGGAGGGTGAGAGAGAAAGAGAAGGGAGAATGAGAGGGAAAGGGACAGAGGAACAAACAGAGAGATGTAGGGAGGGGGGGAAAGAGGGAGGGGTCAATTGGAATCACAGAGGGAGGGAGGGAGGGATATAAGGAGAAGGAGGTGGAAGGATTTAGAGTTGAGGAAACGGAGGGAGAGGTCAGTAGGAACCACAGAAAAACCTTTTAGCTGAATGCTCAATGAGCTGAGATGAATATTTAGTTTACCTGTTCGTGGCATCTTAAGAACAATTTCATCCTAAGTGCAGCATGTGTGTTACCTGTGTGGTGTGAGTGTACAGGTAAAAGGTGTAGGTACAGGTAAAAGGTGTGGGCGGAGAGAGCTGTAAAGGTAGAGGTGAGTGTGTTCTCTGAGAGCTGCAGAAGAAGGCAGAAGGGATCTGATAAGGTATGCTGGAACATTAATTTCTGGGAAATTATACAGTGTAGTTTTATATCTCTGTTGACAGAAGACTGTAAATCTTTTGTAAAAGGTATGTATCTGCTTTAGAAGACTCTCAGGTAGAACTCTTCTGCTACAGAGCAGTCTGCTGAGTTCTCCATGTAGAAGCAGGAGAAAGGTAAAACACCATGTAAACTCTGGCACAGACATGTTTGCCAGATGCAATATTGGATTTGCTCAGGCTCAAGAAAGGAGGATCTTATTTTCAGCTATCTCATTGTTTTAATGAAAGATGAGGTTAGCAGGTAGGTCATAGATGATTTTGTTGGTCAAAAGTTATCTTTGTGTACCACAGAGTGAAAGTATAATCAAAGATTTGATCGAATAGAGGACTGTACAGAAGATGTAGAAACAGTTAAATAACCAGGATCTTATCCATATGCCCCAGAATTGTGATATGGTACAGGGTTTACCTGTATTGGCAGGAGGAGCCAGGTAGTGAAGATACCTGAGGTTTACCTGTGTTAACAGAACCAGTCACAGAGGTTGTCTATAGAACATAACACATGGGTTCAAACTGGACATGGTCGCTGGTTGTTCAGGCCTTCTATATTGTAGGGAAGAGTGCAGTCTGTTATTCATATCCTGTAGGTGCTGAGTTCAGTTTCCAGAAGTGTTCCAGATAACTGTTGGCAAGGTGAAGGCAGGGTGACTGGCTGTAGCTGGTTTTGTGTCTCAAGGTGTTTATATCAGACAGGCTTCTTTACTAACTCCTGTATATGTAACCTTGGGTGGTCTTGGGGCACCTTTTATTGTCATCTGTTGGATCTGAGCACATTGTACAATGTCTTACACATAACTGTGCTAATTTCATGTGGTGATTTATGTATTTGTTTATAATACATGTTTTTATCTGTGTATATGTGTGTTTATATATGTATATAATTATGTATAAATGCATACATATTCATATTTATGTATTATAAGGTATTCAAATATGTAATATCCCCATGTTTTCTCTGTTCCAGGCCTACCAGACATCTGCCTATAACCAGGGTCAAGAAACTTTCCATGGCAACGCCAGTCAAATCCCTTCCCCTCCCCCTCCCTCCCGTCTCCATGACTACGCCCCGCCTCCACAACATGGCAGCAGCAAGCAGCAGACAGTAATCAGCAGCAATAAACAACAACAGTTACAACAACAGCAGCACTATGTGCCCGGCAGTGAACGACAGGAGACAAGTTCAGTATTTGGTGGCAGTCACCAGCGTGGGGAGGTGAGGGCAGAGAAGCCATACAGTGAGTCTAGCAGCTCTTTACATCCTTACCGCATATACGGAGACAATACCGCCTCCTTACAACAACATAGACAATATAGTGACAGTGCACTGCAGCAGCAACAACAACAACAAAGACAGTATACTGACAGTTTTAGTTCATTACAACATCAGCAAAGACAGAAGTCATCAGTGACCTTGCAAAGTCGAGGTTCATTGCCACAGCAACCAGGCAGAGTGTCTGATACTTCTGTTGGCGTGTCTGTGACATATAGTAAACATAAACCACCTCAGCCAATTGGAACTGCCAATACTTCATTCTCAGGGGAAAGTAGGAACTCAACAACAAGTCTAAGTAGCTCTAGTTCAGGATTTAGTCTTGGACGCGAACCTCGCACTGACTTCAGTACATACTCACCACCAGGATCTAAGTATCCTACTGTGTCTCCATCTGGTGTCAATCAAAGTGACTCTTTTGAAATGGAGAGAAGAATGTACAATGGCGGCATTACTGCGCCTCTGCGTACAAGTCCCCAGGTGCTCTTGGTACCTGGAACAAGCTTGACGCGACACGGGGGCAGCATGGAGAGTTTGGGGCGCTCCAGTCGCTCCAGTGACAGCGGGGGAGCACGTAGGTCACAGGACAATTTAATGCAGCAGGAAAATGTTAGTATATCCAATGAAAATCTTTCACGTTCTCGCCCTGGAGGCTATCGTGCGAGATCTCCGCAGGTTGAACAACTGTCCAGTGTGCAAAATCAAAGAGACAATGTGTCCATGCGAGAAAGTTCAGTGGGGTCTGATGCGCCTGAACCTCGCGGACATAGAGTACAAAGTAGATACAAAAAGTCTTTCACTACCTCAGTTCTTGGAGGTCCTGGCGGCCATACTGGCTTCTCTGTACCTCAGACAGAGTTTGGACATACCTACGCACCCACTGTGCGTACAGACTTACCCAAAGCAACACATGGCAGCACTGTAGGTGGAGACACTGCAATAAGCGGGTCATTTCCCCAAGACAAGCCCAGCATTGACTCTACAGATTCTAGCTCCCAAAGGGAAGTCAAAGGTCAGCATAGTCGAAGTGGGAATCGTCCATACCAGCGACGAGCTCTCACCAGGATACAAGAAAAAGTGAACCCTCCGCGAGAGCCTAGCACAGACTTTTCTCAAGTAACTAAAGCTCCAGAGCTCCAGAAATTGTTACGCTCAGATAGTATTCATGACTCTGATGACCTTGACATGGGAGATTCTAAAACTAACTCAGGGGATGACCTCGCTGTGATAAGTCCAAAAATTGTGTCACAGAAAGCACAGTTCTTTGAGCGAAATAGTTTTGAGCAAAAAGAGGATGTTGCCACAGACCTTAACAAGGAGACTAAGGATAAAGAACTAAACTTTAAGGAGTATGTGTATAAAAAAGAAATAGAACGAATGGCCAACAAAGGTTGTATTGCTAGTGTTTCCTCACGCACTGCCAAATTTGAAGGTCAAAGGTCAGATTCTACAGAGAGTTCAGGCTCTGGTGGCAAACCCAGGCCTCGGCTGACCAAAGGGGACAGTATTGAGTTCATAGATGCTGAGGAGGACACTGCTCAGGAACCTGTCTCTAAACCTGGTTCTAAAGTAAGTGTGAGACAACATGGAGTCCCCGTACAGCCGCAGACATCTTTGTCAGGGGGTCAGATTCCTTTGAGATCTGCTGACCGTGACCAGACACCAGATGGCGGCACTAGTCACATGTTAAAACAGGCAGCGGCTAGCAAAATTGTGTCAAGTATACAACATTACAGGAGTCATGAGACCGAGAAACCACCTTACCCCGCAGCAGCTAGCTCAACTGCAGCTTCAGCAGCCAAGCAGTATATGGAGCTTGGTAAGACATATAGTATGCCTGACAAAACTTTGGTTCAACAACCTCAGTCTAGACAGCCGCAGGGGCTCCGGATACCTGTATCTGGACGACCAGCAGAAGTGACCGCTACACAGAGACTCGGACAGTCATCGTCAGTGCTCAGAGCGCCACCTACATCTCAAACTACAGAACTGCCACATAGGAGTATTGGAATTACGATAACTGCTCCCCCGACATCCCGCGGGGCTGAGATAGGAATTTCTTTCTCCAGTGCTTCCCGGGGACCAGAGGTAGGGATAACCTACGCCCCCAAAACTGTCTCTGTGTCCTCTACTGCTGCTACCAGGACGGTGCCTGTGTCTTCTACGGCGCCCCCTAGGAGTTCTACTGCTGTCACACACAACAAACCCAGCGCATTGCCAGTGGAGCGGAGCAACACAGCGCCCTCTACTGGCGGGTCTAGTTTTTACTTTCGTAGTCATGTGCCAATTGGATATAAGGAGTATATTACACACTTAGCAGAGAAGGATTCACAACTGAGTCCTAGTTATAAGACATTAGCTGAACAAAGCCAGGTGGAGCTTCCTCCAGGAGAAGCCCAACAAGAGACCACCAGTTACCCCAAGTCATCAGCCCGTGATGCCCACATGAAGTTATCTGTAAAGGAAGCCCGGGCGCGGCTTTTCTCTGACAATATCTTTGCTCAGCAGGATGCTCTCCAGTCTCGCCAGGATGGCCGCTATTTGAATGTGCGTGGCTCCAGTCCTGGTGCCAGTGGAGGAAGAGCACCCCCTGTACCAGACCGCAAATACAGCCAATCAGATCTGCCGCCTTCTGTGCGCCAGCAGTCACCTGACAGTGATATATCATGGCGGGAATTCTTCCCGTCTTCGTCTGAGGCCAGCAGCACCAGGTCGAGTTTCAGCGAGGATTCCTCACTTAGCGAGAAGAACCGAAGTGATAACGCCTGCCGCAGGCAGCCATCTTACCTAAGTGCCATCAATTCAGGACAGATAAAAAGTAAGTTGCATTCAAAGTTGTTTTTGTGTGGGTTACATTGCATGGGCATCTATACTCATTTAGAATTTGGTTGTTTATATTTTCATATTTTGTTGTTTATAATACTAAAAGAACAACTCATATATGTATGTTTATCATACAGTACTGTGAATAATGAAAAATATGAGACAAACAAAAGTTATTCAGTCTATTAATGGAAGTATTTCTAGTTTAATCTCAACACATGAGGGTTACAAAGTGAACTTCAGTGTAAATAGCAAGTATCTAGTTGTCACAGATTTCAGCTTTGTATTATTTGTGTGTCCAATTGTATTTGCTTAACATGGTTAAGGAATAGTTGAAAATATTTGTTTATCAAGTAACAATTTATTTAGAACTTGATGTTATGGGACAAATAGTCTAGCATAGTGCTTTTAATGTGGATTTCTTCATGTATTGTTTTATTTTTTACTGTATAATTGTATTGCTACCAGTGCAAGTGTGAATATTTTTTTGCCCAAATGAGCTTTTCTTTGGTCCATTTAGTTGGAATTTGTATAATCTTACCTTCAAAACACAAACAGCTGATACTCAATAAGAAACAAAATATTTTTGTTTGTCAACAAAATGCATAAGATTTACACAAGATACAGAGATCAATATTTCATTTAACCTTTACACAGGAAAAAAAACTAAAAACAGTAACACATTAATTTTCAAACTACATTACCACACAATTTCCTGACCAATGACAATAATTGTTCCATAACCACCCGATATATCCTGACCAATGACAATAATTGTTCCATATTTTCTTCCAAGGTCAGTTTCAGCGTACCCGCAGCTTGCCCTGGCGTTCCCGCCCCCCGCATGATGGTTAGTGTGGCTTGGAGTGATACATTAGGCTAGCAGATCATATTATTACCATATAAACTATCATTATATATATAGACCTTTGTGTGGTGTTCTCTCTGCTTCCTAGACTTGTAGCGTCTCTCTAGAAGCACCTGTTTGTCTTGAAATCCCTGCCTGCCTTCAGGTAGATGCATTTTGTGTCAGAGTCACTTCACTGAGGTTTTTTTAAACTTACAAGAATAATATAATCAAATGAGCCTAAATTACCTCATGTAATGTAGACCCAATTTCTACATTATATGCTCATGCTTGGTATACCACTGTGTGTGTGTGTGTGTGTGTGTGGTTTGTCACTGGATGATGCTGGAGGTGTTATGGCATATATCTCACATATACCCCTATTATCAATGCTGTACTACAAGCAAAGCAGGTTATATTGCTGGTGGAGTTGGAGATTTGCAAACAAGTGGTGACCTGCCAGGAATGCAATCTGTTACTTCACAAAAGTGTATGGCCCATCTTGGCACATGACTGCCTAGTGGCTCCCTCAGTAGTATTTATTTTCCCTTGGTGTACATTTTGCCCATTTCACAAGGGTCCAGTTTTGTTTTCATGTCAGTGGTTTAAGGATACTAGACTGGGGAAAAATGCCAAAGAGAAAGAGAAGAAATGTTCTCTGTATTACGGCAGAGTCCCATACACTGGGTCATGAAATCAGCTCCATATGGCAACATGTTCCTGATCTTGGCCGTGGCTCAGAACAGAGAGCAGACTGTTTGAGTTTGAAATGTGTGAACATCTGTTGCTCTCTCAGGTATGCCGCTTGCCAACATGAATCATTCCAGGAGCTAAATGGCTTGTCTTGGCCTGGGATGGAACTCCTCTAACGCGTGGCGCCACCTTGGGAAGTATTGACCTGTGAGGAATGCAGGTTGCCACTAGTAGAATGCTGCTATCAGAGGCTGCCTCCTGTAGGAAATGTGTCCAACCTTTCTCCCTCTGTGGTCTCAGTTATCTCCAGCTACCAGATACAACACCATACATAGAGGCAGAGGCCCACGGCTGGCCTGCTGCTTTGTGGCGAGGGGCACCTTGCTGTTGGAAGCTCAGTATTTTAGACCAGAAATTTTATTCTAAGCTTTTAGACCTAAAATTTAGTCTACTTTGACTTGAGATGGGTCAGTGGCAGTGCGCTAGAATGGAAGTTTTATGAACTTTAAGTGCAAGATTTTGCTGCAGTTGAACCTCATTTGTCACTTGTGTTTTAGGCTTGGATAAAATCAAAAAAATATGTCAGTGCTTTACATCCCACTATCCTGCATCTGATGAAAAAATAAATTGGACAAGAAATGAAAAGAATAAATTATGTAGATATGGAAACTCTTCGTTAATGTAAACTTTAGATAGGACCAAGCTCAGATGAACTTTGACAAAGCTACACAAACACAGCTATAGTGTTGTTATTTTGTATTGCACCTTGTTATGTAGCTGTGTGGGTGGAAGATGTTTTCTCTGATTCTTCTATGTGCTATCTTCTCTGTGCTTTTTGTGTTTGTCTGGGTTTTTTTTTGCTGTTAACATAACTTGTACTTTCTAGGGTTTTTTTCCCTCAAAAAAAATTTTTTTTGAGAAATTTGAGAATTATTAATTTGATATCTTTATTATTTTGGCTTTCTCTTTGCAGTAAAACTGACAAAATATGTGGTTTCAGTTCAGCATTTTCCTAGAACTAACCTCTGATTGTGTTGTGCTGTGTTTTTAAACCTTTGACATTTCTTTCAAAAATATGAAAAAAGAAAAACATTTCAATGAATTTCAGCATTAACTGAAACAGATGTTTTGTAGTGTGGTGATTGGTTAACATAAAATAAAGTTACTGACTTGAGAAATTGTACAACTGTCTGTGAAGTAATAGAATAATGTGCACGTTGTTTACTTGAAATTTATGATAAAAACAAAATGGAACTGTTTACTAAATTCCTTTGTTTTGAAAATTTTGCTTTTTACACCCTGTTAGTTACCTTATCTTTAAAAAAAACTGGAAATTGTAGTTTTGCAGCCTCAAATCTTGGCTGTGTTCCTGCTGTTAAAATGTTTCATTTTCTAATGAAATTATTTGTTCCAAGTTGTTTGAGATATCAATGTCTGTATAGTAATAGATGCTGCCCTGTGAACACACGGACTTGAAAGGACTGAGGGATCAGAAACCACCTCTATGAAACTATATTGACACAGGTGACTGGGTGTTTTTGGAACCATTACAGACAAACATTTTGACTAAAAGAGATCATTAAAGGATCTAAACCAAATAGCAGAGAGATTTTAGGTGTTGAAATTCCTGTCAGATCCATCTTGTCATCTGATGACGTGACTAAGACTAAAATTCGGTCCATCTCAGCCATAGTCTGAACAATCCTCAATGAGAAGTTCATGTGTTCACAGGCAGACGTAATGCATGTTTGCATGTTGCATGCTTTGTTTGCACTTTCAGATTCACCCAAAGAAATGCATGCTTCTCCACTTGCACAGCACACTAAGACTGCTGGACTCCTAGCCCGCTATGCCAGCACTTCTGCCAGTTCTGCCCACCCCAGTATCCCTCAAACTGTTCCTGCCAGCACCCCTCACCCCAATACCCCTGGAAGTGGCCCACAACCCACCTCTACCACCACCACTTCTAGCTCAACTGTTGTCCCAAAGAACAATTCTGTCAGCCGTGCTTTAAATGCCAGAACCCTGGTCTCAGAACAGGGCACCAGGACACCTGCCAGTTATAGTGGCTCAGCAGGTGCCAAAGGACCCCAAACCTCCCCAGTATATCACACTGGTTTCACATCTCAGACTGGTTCCCCACAATCCCAGACTGGTTCCCCACTTCAGACTTATATCCCACTTTCTCCATCCCGTATCCCAGTATATGACTCTGTCTCTGGTCGCACTTCAAAGTCTACCACCAGCAGTCATGGAAATGGCCCAGGCATGGAGGGGCCACTTCAGGGAAGGAACAGTCAACAGAAGGGCAGTGTGTCAAAAGTAAAAGGGAGACCAGAGGGGAACAAAGTCCCAGGGAAAGGGATAGGCAGGGGGTTGAAGGGGAACCCTCCTGGTGAAATGAATCAGCAGAAAGTACTGATTACCACGGGGAAGGGGACACAAAGTAGTAAGAGTGGGGAACAAAATGGTGTTTTCACCAAGCAGAAAGACCTGCCAAAGGAGAAGAAAGTGGGACAGAGTCAGATAGGCAGTGATTCTAATAAGACTAAGACTGAGGCAGGTGCCCGGGTTTCTGGACAATATGACCCTAGAAAAGTGGGACAGAAAACTTTTATTGTTGAAGTTAACAAACAGTTACAAACAGCGAAAAAAGATTCTCAAAGCATTTCAAAAACACCAGAGCCAAAGAGAAAAGAAAAAGAGAAAGCTTTGAAGAATAATGAAGGAAAAAATGCTAGAACAACTGAGACAGAAGAAAGCAATTTAGAATCTGTTTCTGGCGAAAAGGGTAAATCTGAAAAATCCAAAATCCCAGCCATGAAAAAGAAAGATACGATAACAAAGTCTAAGACAGGGAAGGGACTGAGGAGAAGCGAGTCCATGTCTGCCAGTGGGGACAGTCACATGATCAGGGAACTCCAATCAAATCAAGACAAACCCCATGATGCTGTCAGTATAGGCCTGGTCTCTCCACGATTGGCTGTCAGAGGTTTGAAGCCCCGCCCACACTCTCTGGCCACACCCTCAGAGCCTCATTCCTCCTTCATACCCCGCCCAGTCTCAACCCACCCCAGTGCTGGCCACGCCCACCCTGTCAAGACTGGCACTGTCCGCACCACTGGCACCACACTAACAGGTTGGTTCTCTGCACAGTGTTCACACACACACACAGATTTCCATGTAGAAAATCTAGTGATTAAAATAGAAATCAACCCAGTAGAACACCATATGCAAATTGTATGTTGATTGACACTAATATGCAAAAGAGAGGATGAGAAATAGAGTCATGGTGATGTTTCACATGATTTTATAAACTGATGATTACATAGTAATTAATACTAGTCTGTCTCTGAAGGTAGTGCTGAATGGGAAAAAAGGTTTTTTTATCATCTGTTGGTTAAAACTAAGCAGGTATTTCAATGTTGGGCTGGGTTCAAGTTTGTTATGACAAAAGGAAAGCAAGGAAATAGGTAGAGCTGAGCTTTAGGCAGTTTTACCAGCTGAAATCAATTCTACCATGACATGAGACAAGACACTGGCTCCATCTATAGTTCTGAAGTGATACTATGGTATTTAGTACTGTACTGCATGTGCAAAATGTCAGCTAAGTTGCAGAGAGGATTGTTTTTGTAGATTTAAAAAACTCGATAAGTTATACCATTTCTCTGCACACGCAATGCTCACAGTGATCATTCCACCCTTTTGCCTTTTAATTATTTTATTTATTTATTTTTGTTTTGTACTAAAGTCTGTCCAAACACCAAAATCACTCCAAATTCACTATACATCAACAAAACATCAGCATCCACCACCCTGTTCATCATGTTGTGTTACTGTATTATTAATACTAAACCAGCACCTGCTGTGACTGCCACCCATTGCGCTAGTTGAGATGGAGTTGATGACTTACATTGTGTTAGTTGTGATTGTGTTTTTGCACTGTTGTCTTTCAAGATCACATGGACTGGATGTTCAGAGATTCTTTATTCTGGACTCAAATGCCTGGTGAGAAATTAGCAGGTCCAGAAGGACCAATAACCAATTAACAAGTCTAACAAGACTAATGCAAATTAGATGATATATGTACAACTTAATATTAATTTTAGCGTACATGTAGATATTGAGGCCATTTTGTAGCAAAATTTCTGTACATCATCTCCAAATTAGAAATTTCTCTGTAAAATGGTCTGAAAGTTCTTCATTTAATCCCCCATAATCTTCCCACTGTGCTCGGCACCATAAACCAACTTTTAATATTATTACTACCACCTTAGATAGTATGATAATAGTAAGCAGATAGGACAGAGACCATCCTAAATAATACCAATTTATGGATGACCATGTTTTTATTGACCTTGTTAGATCTCCTGTGGAAAGTAACCTTTAATAGTAGATCTGCATGTTAACATCATACTAATAAATAAACCAACCAGAGATGTTATATGGAACCTCACTGTTAACAAGTTTCACAGTAGAGATACAGTCTAACCTCACAACCTGTGGTCATCACAGAGTAGAGCACTGTGGTTTCACTCTGGAATAACATACAAATGAAGTATTCTGGGACATGTTAAAGTGTATTACACTGTACCTCATCCTGGCCTCTGTGACAGAGGACACAGGTGAAAGAGAAGATCATGACCAGGTGTTATTATATACCTGAACCAGGAAGTTGATGTAACAGTAACCATCTCCCTGACATACCTGCAGATGTCATATAATACCAAAGCCAGGAAGTTTTCACTCTCCCCCCCCCCCCACCCCGACATACCCTGTAGATGTCCTATCCACCATGTTGCATGTGTCGCCTCCTGGTGTCTGTCTTTTATCACAGCATGTTTAGAGCACATACATAATACTAGTGTACATGAATAGCCTCACTTGCTAATATAACTAACCATGATCAAGTATTTGATGATAATTATTAGACAGCAATATGACAGTAGCATGCTTAGAAACTCACCAGAATAACCAAGGTCTAATACATTTTATAACTAGACCATATACCAACTGTAGCATGCACAGAATCTTTCCAGAATAACTAAGGTGTAATACTTAAATAATTATTAATTAGTTATAAATTATGTACTATTTATAGCTAGCATGAGAGTAGAATAGCCTTCAACATGCTCTGTAGTTCTTATCACAATAGTAACTCTTTGAAAGGGAACACAGATTCATTGCTAAATTAATGTTGTGAAAATTGTGTTACCATAGTAACATATAGTAAACTTGGTGATGTCATAACACTGAGACCCGTATTTGTGTACAGTCAGCAGTCATGGTTGGTATGATGGTCTCTGGTATATACAGTAGATATTTATCAAGTAGAATACTGAGGTCAATTAATTACAGTTAATAGTAAGATACAATATTCTATTAACAAATAGTTTAGCAGAGACTAGTATATGGTATGTTAATAGTGTTGTCGCTGTACCATGACGTCATGCTAAATCCCAGCCTCAGTCTCACACCAGCATGTGACCTTCACCTTGGGTCTAAAGTGATACATTCTGAGCAAGAGGAAAAATGTCTTTAAAATTAATTGGAATATATATATTTTTAATGTTGATGTATTTAGTAACTTATGGTGAGTTTGGATCAAAAATATTTAAAAAAAAAAAAACAGAAGTGGTGTTGTGTGGCTGGGGTGCACACGGCTTTGATGAAATCTGTAGCAGCCACATTTCTATAAAATCAATATAACTCTACCATACCTTGCAGTCACACCACCAGATGAAGTCCCCAGGAGCAGCGCCGTCACCATGGCAACAACAACTAGCAGTAACACGCTGGCTGTCAGTGACATCCTGGTGCGGCAGAAGACACCAGGTAGGTGGAGTGAATGTGTACAGGAGGCGACTGCACCTCTTTGTTCCTGTAGCTGTGTATCATGGTTTCAGTTCCCCGAATTTTCTTTGACACTGCCAGTCTCTTATAGGCTGTCAATATGCACATGGTATTTTTCAAAGAGCTAGGAAAGAAGCACATTTGCCAGACAAAAGTTGTTATTAAATATGTGGTGTATTTTTTCAGCAGTTTATTGAAACTATGCTGAGAAATAAGTTATTTGTCTGAAACGAGACATACATAGGTATTATTATTAGGTCAAGTGTCATCCTGTCAGCATGTTAGGTAGGTGGTAGAGTCTGTATTTACAGAAATAAGTTATTTGTCTTAAACAAGACATACATAGGTATTATTATTAGGTCAAGTGTCATCCTGTCAGCATGTTAGGTAGGTGGTAGAGTCTGTATTTACAGAAAACTAAAAAATAAGAAGTGAGTTGATGGTGCAGAGAGGTAGGTAGGAAGGCAGTGATGTAATACAGGTGTCTGTATTCATAGAGGGCATTCCCATAGATTTTAGATCGATCTATCCCCGTGAGGAGTGTCATTAGATTACTGTCAGATAAACCATCAGATAATCCCTCCCGCCTACTACAAGCTGTAAGGGTGTAATGAACTTTTGTGCCCGCTCGGCTAACAGCTATTTAGCATGAAGCCCTAGGGAGTAAGGTCGATCTAGTTGGATCGATCTAATCTCTGGGAATGGGGTCATAGTCTGTATTTACAGAAAACTTGAACTATTTGTAATATAGTCATGTGGATGACTAGTATATGTTGAAGAGATTTGAGCATCTGCACATTGGGATTCTCTTCAATTCTTACTGCCTCCTGAAGGAAGTTGGACTATTTATTGTGAACTGCTGGTGTTGGAAACTTTATATTATAAGGCAGAATTCCATTCTAATATTCCTCAGTTCTCTGCATTCACCTATTTGTATCCTTGAACTTGCGATGCATAGACACAGGCACTGTACAGGGGAAGCATAGCTGAGTGAGTGTTTAGTTCACTGCACAGTGAATTGGTCTCTGTTTTATCTCGCTGCTGAAGACAGTACCATTCATCAGATTTCCTGGTAGCCATGACGACCTGTTGTTTCCAGGAAGTGGTCTATTCTATTCCCTGTAATCCAGGAAGACAGAGGTTTCCCAGGGTTCTCTGGAGGCTGGTCTGGGGGGGAGGTATGAAGGACAGGGTGACACCATACTATGTTTGTAGAGCAGGACATGTAATATAATCCAGGAAGACAGAGGTTTCCCAGGGTTCTGTGGGTATGGAGGACACGGTGGTAAAGTAAGACAGGTGACACTGTAGTCAACAGGTGCCCTGTGAACACCTTGTATATATCTGATACTGTACACAGCTGACTGGGGAATTAATGTGAAGGTTTTCAGGCCAAGGAAGAGACTGTATTATGAATATTGTCAGGATATGTGATTAGGAAGGAGGTGATTAGTTATTATAGAAGATTGTGAGGCATGTGTTGGATATATCAGCTGCCACTTTGGCAGTGACTTGTCTCTATGTTGAGAAGTATGGTGATGGTAATTATAAATGGTTCCAATGAAGACTGAAATAAATATACAGACTGCTACCTGGCACAGCTTTAAGCATGATGATATACTAGTTTGACTGGAATATTATGAAGTAAAAAGTGATGTTTAAGTGTATTCAGATAGTTACTGTATGGGAACAGAAGATGACCAATAAGGGTGATCTTTGGGGGGGGGGGTCTCTCTTTGAAGTAGGGCTGTCTGCTGTCACCCTGAGTTTGGCTGAAGAGGTAGAGTCTAGTTAACTGTAAAGTGATCTCATTGGTGTCAGTGATATAGACAGGTGGTTTCAGAGAATTTGGCAACACGCACGTTTTCACATAAGTAATTCTGAAATCTTGTAATTATGATATATCACTGGTATATGATGATCCAGTGGTTAGGTCTTGGTGAGGAGGGACCATTTCATAACCTGGCTGACCAGGGACCAGATCAAAACCTTCACAACAACAGTGCAATCCTCTAAATTGTGGAATTATATAAAGATACATGTGTGTAGACAGAGAAAGGCATTGCACAAGCTTAACACTTGGAATTCTCCTTAAAATGAACTGAAATAATTGCAAGAAATACCAATATTACCAATGTAACCAGTGGCTGCCAATCAAAAGAACATTAGCTACAGTGTGGGTAATTCCTAAATTATCCTAGATAATATAGTTCAACTAATGAGGAAAAGAATTCCTGGACATCAGAAGTGATCTAGACAGTTAAATGTGTGAATGTGTGTGTGCATGCATGCATCCGCGTGCATGTCACTTGTGCATGCGTATGCGTGTTATCTCACCATCCAGGCACAACTGGTAAGGTACACTGGGTGTCACTAGTTCATGCAAATTGAATCAATTATTTTGTTTCTGGGAAAGTCACCAAGCTTTCTATCTCTTCAGTACCTCATAGCCTACAGCTGGCCACTTACAGTGTGCGTTAAAATTTTTTAACTCAGGTTTTTTTAAAAACCATGGACTTGGGTGAATATGGCCCCATTCAGAATAGGGGACTAACTAGTCCAAGTGTCAAATATGACCACCCACTATAAAGCTTGCCATCTAATCCACTAATAGATACCGAATAGATATCCCGTGGGGAAGTTATTCAAGTGGGTCGGCCATATTTGTTCCTTGGACTTGTTAATCCCTTATTCTGAACAGGGCCTATCAAAATGGTAACTTGTCAGTTACAGTGGGCATTGAAATGTTTGTTGTCTGTTTTCATTCCATGTTACCCCTGTATGGTGAGCAGTTGTTTTCTGAAGTTGGTTAAAGAATTCCTGACATTCCCCAAAGATTGCTGAATGTGGCAGATCTGGTTGATATTTTCATTATAAATATACTTTACTATTATCAATTGTTCATTGTCAATGAATGGAAATTCCTTTGCTGGCAAGTTTGCTATAGGTCTCTGGGGGTTAGTTAATATTTTGTCTACACATCTGCTCCCAAGTTGTTTTACATTTTGAAGTATTTGTTTTGATTTTGCATTATCAGGTCTTTCTGTTCAGTTTGCAATTTGTCCTCTGCGCTATTTTTCATTTTTTCTGTTGTGCCCAAACATTTGTCCAGTTCTGTATTCAAAGATATTTCTATTGTGCCCAAACATTTGTCCAGTTCTGTATTCAATGATATTTCTATTGTGCCCAAACATTTGTCCAGTCCTATATTCAAAGATATTTCTATTGTGCCCAAACATTTGTCCAGTTCTGTATTCAAAGATATTTCTGTTGTGCCCAAACATTTGTCCAGTCCTGTATTCAAATATATTTCTATTGTGCCCAAACATTTGTCCAGTCCTGTATTCATAGATATTTCTATTGTGCCCAAACATTTGTCCAGTCTTGTATTCCAAGCTGCTTCATCATCCTATAGTAGATCATGAATAACAAGTAAGTCAGACTTAAACTGGCCCTAGAGACTGGAGATGATACAGAGAGAAACCTAGCACAGTGGAAAACTTGGTTATATACTACTACAGTAACTTCTGCTAGTGTGTTCTACTGGCATGTGTGTTAATGTTACAAGTGACGTCAGAGAACAAAAACAATAACATGGAACTGGATGAAAGCTGAAGATATAGGAGTGTATTTGGAGCAGATAGTGAGGATTGGACAGAAAGTGTGACGTCTAGTAGAAAGTCTTGTCTACATGCACCTTGTGTATTTAAGTTCAAGGAAAGGAAAGTCTGGGAAGTGAAGTACAAGTGGAGCTGTTCACCAAGGTGTTGCCTGTGAATTATATGTCTCACACTTCTCCAGTCAACCATATGATACAGCAGCCATTAAGATACAGGAGTTACAGCTGGGACACTACTAGTTTCTGTAGTCTATTATAACTATATACAAGATTAGTGAGTGGAGTGGGACAATTCCATGGTGCCTGTACCCAGGATACTAGTCATGTCAGGGAGGTAATGGAAAATTAAAGTGGAAGTGGTTGTCTCTAGCCTCTGTTAACTAAAACTGACCCATTTGTCTGACCTCTGTCTGAAAATTGATAATCTTCATCAAGATAACCAGATAATCCAGTGTGGATAACAGTATAATCTATCAGCACAAGGGACTATAGTGCACAGGGACATACACAGTACCATGGATCTGGCCAAGATGAGCCTGTCCCCATGTACACTCAGGTTTTTATTACTGGACTCTGCATACAGGCCATTGACTGATCAAGATGGACATCTGACCTTGAGGAATGAGGAGGAGGAGGAGAGTTCTCTGAGCAGTGAGGAGGAGGGCGGACATGATGAGGAGGAGGATGAGGAAGAAGAGGAGCAGCAACAGTGTCTGTTCTATCTGGAAGGTAGTGAGAAATTCATGAAGTTATACCGTAATTGAATTATAGTGTTCAGGTTATCTGTGATGATGATTATGAATTGATCCTTAATTCCATGGCAACAGAGCCATTAGAAAGAAGAAAACAAGCCATGGTATTTAAGGGACATTCTGTATTTACTGTAGTTAGATAGGAAAATAATATCACCTCACAAATTAATAACATGCCCCCCCCCCCCTTATTGAAATCAGGAAAGAGGGTGAACTTCTGTGTGATGGTAATATTGATTTCTATCTGTCAATTGAAGAGAGTAAATCAGACTGAGTATGTTATCATGGTATTAGTAGTTTGGATTGAAGTCAGTCTGACAATAATGTTAGACCCCATTCCCAGAGATTGGATCAATCCAACTAGATCGACCTAACTTCCTGGGGGTTCACGCTAAATAGCTGTCAGCCGAGCGGGCACAAAAGTTAATTACCCCCTTACAGTTTGTAGTAGGTGGGACGGACATTTAAGCCGGATTATCTGGCAGTAATCTAGTGAGACTCCCCATGGGGATAGATCAATCTAAAATCTATGGGAATGCTCCCTTAGAGCTGATGTTGGTTGTGTGAGTATCTGCTCATTGACCTGAGATATGTGGCAGCTGACACCATAGTATGGACCATAGTATCAAGACAAAGGTTTTGGGGCAGGGGGGGGGGGGAGGGCTAAGTGGACCATCACAACATTTCCACTGGCAGATGGGTAGGATGAATATTGTGAAGGAAGGATAAAACAGCATCAGCTGGATGGTACCCTCTCATGGGTTACAATAGGTAAGAGATGACTTGTGATATTTTCATTGGAAAGCTAGCAGGTCAGGAAATGTCC